AATAATGATAATGATTATAACATTGTATTACCAAAACCAATAAGGTGTATAAAATTTGTTTTCCTTTTCAAATCGATAATGAAGAAAAAAGTCTAATTGGTGAAAAAATGATATATACAAATCATGATTTTAAAAATCTGATATACAAATCTTAGCATGCGGTTTCAAAAAATTTAATAATATAATAATAGGCTGAATGAATTATGATTCAGATTCATGCAAATAAAATTTTGAACAGATTTTTAAAATCATGATTTTCCTTGGAGATTTATTCAGATTTTCAAATTGTTTGGAAATCACGATTTCTAAAATCATGATTTATTCGGATTTACATTCGAATTTTCAAATTGTTTGGAAAAATAGGAGATTTATTCGAATTTTAATTCCTTGTTGTTTACAAATATAAAAGTATTTGATGTTATTAATAAAAAAAGGAAAAAAATCTTATTTACTGGAGATAATTAATGAAAGTGGTGGGAAATTGTTTCTAAATTTGATTTATGTTAATCCTTATTATATAGGATTAACACATATGTTAACATATAAATAACACATATGTTACTTTCACGTAAATACTAATATATATATAAATTATTTCTAACGATTATTAGAAATATGATTGATTCTTAAAAAAAATCTTTAATTGACAATTATAAATTAAATGTTTTCTGTTGTATTTTAAAAAAATTTAAAAATATGTATGGTGAGTGTATTTCTTAAATTAAGTGTATTAAGTATGGTAAGTGTATTTCTTAGATTTATTTTAATTTTGATTCCATATTTTCGATTGTATTCCTAAAAAAAATTGGATAAAAAAAGCTTGCTAATAAATAGAGATTTTGTTAATTTACTATTTTTAGGCAATAATTAATGAAATTGGCGGGAAAATATTTCTAAAAATGAATTATGTTAATCTTTATTATATATTAATAGATTTTGTAACAGAAAATAGAGAGAAAATTTTTAGAGGTTTTATTTAATAAGTTTTATTAAATGCTATATGCTAGCAATTATATATATATATATAGATTTAGTTATATATTTATTTTTCACCACGAATTTATTTTTAGAGTTAATAGTATACTTTTTGAAAACAGTGTTTACTTGTATTATAGTAAGAGATGTCATTAATAATTTTTCTTCAAGTGCATCGCATATCATTTAAAGCATATAATTGAAAGTACATTGCATTATTTACTAAAATTATATAATTGTGTATCAAAAATTTTACCGTTTTAACTTTATAAAACCTTCTGGAAACAAAAAAAA